TGACTACCCTGAGTCCATTTTTGAGGTCATTTTTAGTTTTTAGCAAACCGTTTTTGAGTTATAACTTGTATCTTTAAAGACACATTGCCATGAAATCTAAATTCCCTAATTGTATCTTTTTAGATACAATACTATGTGAACTAAAAATTAAGAATGTATCCAAAAAGATACAATGCTATGAATTTCATAATTCATTGTTGTATCTTTTAAAATACATTGCTTTAAAGTATGTATTCTAATGTTTCATTTAAGTCTTATAAACATTATAATAAAAAAAAATAATTTGATATAAAAATAATAATTTATTAATGGTAAAAATTAAATTAATCTTTATAAGGTATTTATTGAATATGTAGCAACATTTTTACAAAATAATTATATACCTAATTGATATTAAAAATAACAAGTATTTAAAAACATAATTAACATAAAATAAAATGAAAATCTTAACTTTGTATATTGTAAATCATTATAACATTTATAACAATCGAAAAATGTATCAAAAATAAAATTAAAAAATACATAATACCCTATACGCTAACTTTTTCAATAAAAACATACCAAAAAAAAAATTATTTAATAACATTGGTAATTTTAAATAAGAAAATTTGTTCCATAAGTTTCAACAGTAGGCTATTTTCATTATTTTTCCTTATGATATGTATAAAAACAATTTCTCGTATTATTTATACACAGTATTTTTTCACACTTAATGCAACTCATTACGGTTTGTCCTTTACTCTTTAGCACGGAGTACACATCGACCTTTTGTTACGGGGACCTATCGATTCCGCCAATTTAGCATCGATTCCGCCAGTTCAGGTAGTCTAAAAACAACCTATCGATCCCGCCACCTACCAATTTCTACCTCGACCTGGAAACTGCTGCTGTTAACCTGTTTCTGTTATAATAATAATATATATAAAAATAAAATTAATAATCAGTTTAATAATTAATACAATACAATATATATATGTATATATATTATATATAATAATACAATTAATTTAGTCAAATATAGTTTTAAGTTATACCATGATATTTTTATAGTATGATGGATGCCAAACTAATGCAATGTGAATTAATATATACATAAAATAATACAATATATTTAAATAAATAAAATTTCATAATAATAATATAGGTATCTACAAAATAAGTCAAATTTAATTTTAATATAAATTAATATAAGATTATTATTTATTTTTTCCCTGGCGGAATCGATAGGTCGTTTTTAGGCCACCTGCACTGGTGGAATTGATACTAGCGGAATCGATAAGCCTTATACCCAAGTATAAAAAGGTCTGGCGGAAACCCTTTTGTTACATGTAGAGGCAAGCGGTAAAATACGATTGAGAACGTTACGGTTGAGAACGTTATTTTTGGTAACACGATTGAGAACGCTCGATATGTCTTTTTTTTTCCAACGTTGCCAAATGTTATCGAAAGATAGTTTGAGCACGATAATCGGCTATCGAACGATAAAGAACGTTATACCTTTTGGGCTGAACGATTGATGCTAATACATAGGTACCTAACTCATTTTTCATTACATTTTTTATACATAGGTATTATATTTTTTACTTTTTTTTTTACATATTTTTATAATACTACATTTTTTAAAAAAATTTTAAACATATTTATATTACATATGACTTTTTTCTAGAATATTTGTTAAATAATAAATAATAAATGATATGGCAACGTAAATTCGTTCTCAATCGTATTCTTTCTTGGGTTTTTTTAGGGTCAGTGGTAAGTTCTTTGTTATTTTTAAGTGTTCTCAATCGTTCGGCCAAAAAGGTATAACGTTCTCAATCGTTCGATAGCCGAGGCAAGTGGTCAATATTGTCAAGACGTGTATTGGTCATTGGTTTTGGAGTGGGTTTTTGAATGCATTTGCTTACTATCAGTATGTTTTTTGGTCTTCCTATTCTAAATTGTGTAAGTAGTGTTTTGGCTATAGAATATTTAAAATCCTTCAAAGGCATATGTTTTTTTTCTGATCCAAACAATTGTGTATGATATCTTCTATATAATATCCAGGCATTATTTACACAGACATCTAGTAGTAGAGAAAATATCGCTATATACCAACGGTGTTATTTAATACCAGTTCTATACAACGATACTAACATGTCCACTAAATCAACACCTCCCATATTAGTGTTATATTCTTTAATTACCTACGGACAACTCGCATCTATTCTTCACTTTACATTTTTGTCGTACCGTCGAACTATTTCTCTTGTTTCAATCGTTGGAACAAAAGAACTAACCAAAGTCACGCATTTATTGTCAACCCATTTAACAACAGATATATTTTTTTTACTATCAGATTTTTTTGAATAATTTCCTCTACCTTTTTTTAATAACTATTTATCAGGTATAATTTTGCATCCCCGTAATCTATTCTGTTGGATAGTGCCTAAACTTAAAATTCCAAATTATTTGCTCAAATAACTAACCAGCTCTAACGACGTAAACCGGAGATCCAGCCCAGAAGAATTACTACGGTCGTACCAGCTAACTACAGTCACGTATGGAACAACTCCTGCCTCATTTCTGTTAACCTACTGTCTTATAGCACTCGCAAAAAGTGTTGAGCAGGAATTACCGAAAGCTTCAAAGGTGATTGCCGAAGATTTCTATATGGATGATCTAATGACGGGAGCCGATACAGAGAATGACTGCTGTCGGTTGCAAATAGATGTTAGCCCAGTGCTAAACTCAGCAAAGTTACCATTAAGGAAATGGTGTTCCAACTCTGAATGTGTTTTGCGAAACATGTCCAAGTGTGTTGACGATCCTTTGTTCGTATTAGATATAGGAGACGAAGTCACTCGGGTTGCAGTGGAAACCAGTCGCAGACCATTTTCAATATGACATCGTAGCAAGATCATCAGAAGGTGCGTTATCGAAGAGAACTATACTCTCTGACCTGAATAACATTTTCGATCCACTTGGGTTCCTGTCGCCAGTTTTAGTGAAAGGAAAAATATTCTTACAACAGTTGTGGTCTATGAAGATAGACTGGGATGCACGGCTTCCGGTAGACATTCACCAAAGATGGATTCGTTTTTATGATGAGCTTGAGCAGCTAAAGGAATTGTCTATTCCCAGAAAAGCTATTCCCGAGCGCACCGAGATCATAGATGTACATGGATTTTTCGACGCCTCGGAGGAAGTATATGGAGCCTGTATCTATATTCGTACTCAGAGCAGCGATGGTGAATGGCATTCCAGACTTCTATGCGCTAAAACTCGAGTGGCCCCACTAAAAGGCAGCACAATCCCACGCCTTGAGTTAAACGGTGCATTATTATTAGCGGAGCTGGCTCACCGAGTTGCGGAGTCATGGCAAATCAACATTCATCAGTTTAAGCTTTGAACGGACTCAACTATAGTGCTAGGGTGGTTAAATAGCGAGAGCAGCCGGCTAAAAACATATGTTGCAAATTGAATAGCTCAAATCATGGATGTTACATAGATCAACCAGTGGAACCATAAAGGAACACATGAAAACCCAGCGGATATCCCTTCAAGAGGTTTGGGGCCAAGGGAGCTTTTAGAGGCAAAATTGTGGTGGAAGGGACCCACTTGGTTGGAAAAAAATGAGAAGGATTGGATCTTAAATCCTAATCTTTCCTATCCTGGCTAACTTCATACTTACACGATCGCTATCAATTTATTAACCTTTTTAACACAACATCCAAAAACTATCGAGTGTTATCTGGGGTTCCACAAAGTAGCCATTTAGTTCCCTTACTATTTAACATCTTCATCAATAACGTCTTCTCTATAATCACACACTCACACCGGGTCGGGCATTGCTCTTTTCAGATGATGCGAAAATCTTCTATTCTATTTCAGCTATAGAAGATTGTGTTATCCTACAGAATGTTTTAGACAAATTTGCAAATTGGTGCAATATTTTCGGATTATTACTGAACACAAACAAACGCAAAATTATTTCTTTCAACCGTTCTCGGAGATTTCTTGATTTTGATTACTGTTTAAACGGGCAACCACTTGAACGCGTTAATCAAATAAAAGACCTCGGATTTACTTATGTTCCATCACTAGATTTTCGACCACATATTGACTCTGTTGCCGCTAAAGTGCTACGCGTACTCGGCTTTATTAGAAGACATTTTATAAACTTTGATAACCCGAAATGCCTTTCTGTACTCTACAACTCCCATATAAGATCGCTCTTGGAGTACGGTGTTGTCGTCTGGTCTCCTTACACAAAGAGTAACATGTAGAGACTTTATAAAGTCCAAAACCGCTTCCTAAGTTTCGCAGGGCATAGCCTCAATGTTACGCACCCTCCTCACGACTGTAGTAGAATTAAGTATTTGTTTAAATTCAAGTCACTTTCTGAACGTCACATCACTTATAGTTGTTGTTTTATTCAATCACTGATTGATGGCAAGATAGACGCACCTCGTTTATTGGAACGACTGAGCATTCATATCCCTGGTAATACCCGTAATAAAGATTTTTTTATATACCGTTAGGCCGAAGCAATTTTGCAAAATATGCTCCTATAACAAGAATGATGTCCATATTTAATAAAAACCAATAATTTCGTACCTAGACTCACACATCACATTAGCTTTTAATTTTAACACACAAATTATATTATTACTATATTTACTTATATTTGTCTAATCCATAATACTTTATTTTGTAATATCTTTATCCATACTGTTATAAAAGCCGTTTGGCGTCAATTAGTATATATTATATATATACAAATAAATAAATAAATAGTCAACGCGAATGAAGAGCTACCTGAAGTACGTAAAGTAAAACTAGTACTTGTAGCAAACAACTCGGTAAATGATGTATTAGAACACTACTCAGAATGGAACCAAATGATATGAGGAGTAGCTTGGCTAACAATCTATTCAAAGTTCCTGCGTAAGAAGATCAATGGACCTCAATCTTTAAGAATACATGACTTGAACAAAGCGAGAAAAACGGTGTTATGAATGGTTCAAGCTGAGTGCTTTAGCAAAGACATCTTGTCGCTAGAAAAAGGACAAGAAGTACCAAGAAATAGCAAGTTACGGAGTTTGAATCCCTTCCTACGCGATGGTTTAATACTGGTGGGTGAAAGACTCAACAATTCAGACATGGCGGATAAACGTAAGCACCCTGTGGTATTGCCTGCCGCTCATAAAGTAACCAGTATGATATTTGAAAAATACCATCTGGAGCTTCTCTATGAAGGACCTCAACTCTTGTTGTCTGAGGTAAGGCGTTTATACTGGCCACTGCTAGGTCGAGTAACTGCAAGGTCAGTGGTATGGCGTTGTGTTCAATGTACGAAAGCGCAGCCACGTTTTGATCACCCAATCATGGCAGCGTTCCCAAGAGATCGAGTGCAGTGTACTAGACCCTTCACAGTTACAGGTGTAGATTTTGCGGGATCAATATATATTCGAAGTGGATTGAGACGCGTGGCAGCTAAGAAGGCTTGGATTGCAGTATTTGTTTGCTTTTCCACAAAGGCCATACATTTGGAGTTAGTTGACGATCTTTCGAGTAAGTCCTTTATAGCGACATTGTGTTGTTTTATGTCTAGAAGAGGAAAATGTGCTAAGATGTATAGCGATAATGGAACAAATTTTGTTGGCGCTCAAAAGGAGTTAGTCTCAATGATGAAGAAGGCCAGTGTTGACTTAGAGAAAGACGGTATTGAGTGGCATTTTAATCCACCGGCTGTGCCCCATTTTGGTGGTATATGGGAGAGTGCCGTGAAGAGTATGAAGCATCACCTGAAAAGAGTTATAACGGATCATAAGCTAACAAACACAGAAATGCGTACACTACTATGCCAAATCGAGGCTTGTCTTAATTCAAGACCGATGACCCCCCTAAATAGCGACCCTTCAGACTTGGCCGTATTAACCCCATCTCATTTCTTGATTGGTCAAAGGAGTATTTACCGCAAACTCAATTCGTGGCAAGTGGACGAGTAAGAGCGTGCAATTAGTAAAGGACGATGTTGTAATCATAAAGGATGACTGTATGCCTCCAGCTAAATGGAAGTTAGGCATAGTCGTGGAATTACATCCTGGTTCCGATGGTACAGTACGGGTTGCCACACTAAGGACAGCAAACGGAACACATATGCGTCGTCCAGTCATCAAGTTATGAAGGCTACCCACGGACAAGGACAACACAACAGTTGAAACCCAAGACTTTCAACGGGGGGAGAATGTTGCCGCCGTAGCGTAAAATAATAATGTAAAATACTAGCGGCTACTGACGAACAGCCGATTGACACACACACACACACACAAACATTCGCGCACACCAGCCGTTATTTTTATATTTATTTTTGTTTTAATTATATTTTGTGTCTTGTGAATTATATAATATTATGCAAATCAGGTATCGGCGCGTTATCAGCTACCGCCAGCTCGCCTGTCCGCGTAGCTTAACACGGCCGCCGCAATTTTTGTGTTTCTCCGTACGTCGCCGTGAGATAGTCCATTGCGTCGTGTTAACAATATTGTTTTTTTTATCAAATTGTACTATATATTTTTACTTGTTGGGCCAAAAGGGCCGTATCTTATTTTTTATATTATTATATCATATTTTTTATTATATTTATATTTGAGTTACCATTATTTATTATGGAGTTACCTATTCGTCCTCGATTTAAGTATACACACAAACACATATACGGACTCACACACCACTACACTACATAGCTCACTAGTATTTGTTCGGCGAACCTAACCGATTCTAGTTGAACTGTAGACAATTTACACAAATTTACACAGGTCGGTCGGTGTGTTAGTGTAATACGTAGTAAGCGCGAAGTACTTTGGTAACCGGGCTGTAACCTTCTTGTTCCAGCCTTTGTTCCTTTATATGAAATCATCATTTCATCAACGGAGAACCTTGTTCCTTGTTCAACTGATAAAAATTTTTGCCTTACATGCTCTAAAATAGGTCCTATTTTAGCATAGCGGTCATATTGATCATTCGTTAAATTATCAACAAAGTGCAGTTGTCTTCGCAGTAGTTGATATCTTTTTAATGGCATTACACTAGCTATTCGTTCGTATCTTAGATTTGTAGACCAAAAGTCAGTGTAAGCGGGCATGGACACAATACTCATAAGTAGCTCTATTCCAATGTAGTTTCTTATTTCATTAACATTTGTCGTGATTGGATTTCCAAAGTTTTGAGAACTGTACAAATTTGTATTTGTTACAATCAATTCAAAAATGTCTTCTTTAAAAAACATTTTAAAATATTCATAAGGAATACATATTTCTTTTATTTTTTGCTTAAAAGTATATAGTGTGGAAAATATCTACGGGAAAGTTAAATTTGTTTGACCATTTAAATGACATTTTTTCACTTGCAAATTGATGTTGTTTTTTATGATATGTTGGTAACTGTTCGACGCTAGGTTGAGCATTGGTGATTGGGGACATTTGGTCTTCTAAAAATGAATCAGGTAATGCCATGTGCTAATCTCATTGATTTCCTTTGTTCGAAAGGTGTCGAAATACAACGCTTCTCTGATCCAGATATTGATACAGAATTATCATGTAAATTTTCTAAACTATCGGTATTAAGCTCAAATTTACAGGTGTTGTAATAGTTAAATCTAGTGGTGGTTCTACTTCATTATTTTTTTCAATACTATCAACATCAAAAAGATTTCCAATTTCGTCAAAAATAGGCATATAAATTCATTACACTCTGAAGCATTATCACTGTCTAATTGATTTTTAAATAAAGTATTGGTTGGATCAGAATCATTTTCAATATAGGAGCTTTCTGAATCAATGGGTGGTAGTGCAGCTTTAACAAGTCGTGCAGACCTAGACGATATTGCCTGATTTCGGATCATTATAACGTCTAGATACAAAAAAAAACTATGTTTTAATAAAAAATTACATGTTAATTTTTAATAAGTTTTTTATAAACTAACTCTAAATATATTTTCAAATAACTATTTTACGAACTTCATATTATTCTAATATTCTATAATATTAAATTATATTCAAGACGATAAATATTGTTATTACATTTTAATCGATACTATAAAATTAATACAAAAATATAAAATTTAAAAATGTACATTACGGTTGTGTAAATGAATACACAACATATCAAAATTGCCATACCAAGTGATGTATCTTTTAGGATACAATGAATATTTCTAATAAAATAGGCAGTGTGTCCAATAAGATACATAATCAAATCACAGTAAATTTAGCACTGCATCTTTTTGGATACAACAGGTATCAAACAATACTTATGAAATAACTGATAAGAACTCTGAGTTGAATACATACACATGAAATACACGTTTTAAAATATATACTCACAGTATTAGTTGATCGCTCCGGGTCTGGGTCGAAATCCCGACAATTATAATCCCGACATGTAAAATCCCGACATACCAAATCCTGACAAATCACAATACCGACAGTTTAAAATCCCGACAAGTCACAGTACCGATTGTTTAAAATCCCGACAAATCATAATACCGACATGTAAAATCCCGACCAAACATATTTACATAATATTATCATGTTCATTATTCAACAATTTCATTTAAAAACTCAAACAATACATTACACTACAATTACATTATATTTATACTATTAATACTTATAAAACTACATCGATATATTATGAGCCAAACCCCGTAAAAATTCTAAGACACTCCTATTTGATATATCTTTATATACCGTCATTATTCTTTTCTCTCTGTCAATTATTTGTTTTTTCTGTTTCGGTTTTGGTTCTCCACGATTAATGCATTCAATTTCCAAGTCAACTCGTTGTTGTTCTTTCTGAAGCTCCTCTATCATTGTATAGACTCCAACATGAGGTTTACCAACCAAAGTTGACCAACGTCGATGCCAAGCTTCGACAATATTTTGTGTCCTAGGAATTCCGTGGTCCATTAATTCTGACACAGACCAAAGTTTGGGCGGAAAAAGTGGGTCTGTGCGTATAATATTACCATTTCTTTGGTTTCGGCGACGAATCCGGCCATGTACATAATTGTCTTCAAACCATTGGACAACTTCTTCAGCTTCAGGAGGAAATGTCGCTTTAAGTTCATCAAATGCTGCAGGTATATTTTCAGATGGAATAAAAGCCAGGGCAAGCATTTGTCTTATTTTTAAACTAAACTCTTCGTTTGTACCATATAAATTCACCAAGCCAGATGATTGAATTTTTCTCCAAGTACTTTGAGATAAATGAAAAAAACATGCCTTGTTTTTCACGTTAGGAAACTCAGCTTTTGATGCCTTTATTGCCGCCTGTTCAAAATCTGTCATTATCCAATATGGATTTAGTTGCCCGCCATTATCTTCGCAAAAATCAATTAAGTCTTGAAAAAGACGTATATACAGGGTTTCAGATTTTGATGACATTAAAGCATATGCTAGTGGCAAAACTCGAAAATTGTCTCCTCCTACAGGTGCGTGTATGGTATATAGCTGTCTAAATATTGTCGGGACTGTCCAAAACGTACCATCCATAATTAAATAACGAGCATGCGACAGCCGTTGAACATTATTTTTAGTACAAAATAGTAGAAGTTTTTCATCATTAATGGTTGAATCTTTAATTAAAAATAACTCCCCGCCAATTGTAGTTCTCAGTGAATCGGGAATTGTTAGATCTTCTAATGATTGAGGTTGCGATGGCGTATTTTCCCTTCTAACACGCTTTATTTGTTGCCGTAGAGCATTTCTATTCGGCATGTATGGATGAGCAGTACTTGGCATATTTGTAACGCAACTTTGAATAATTTGGCAGGGTTGGTCATTGGTATTTCGTGCTTGATCTTTTAAATGGCTAAGAGTAGTACATACATCAACCCTAGCTGCTTCAGGTGCGTGATTATGATCAGAACATTTACGTAATAAATGTTTTTCGTTGATAAGTATAGTGGTTGCACGTCCTATGAATGAAACGCAAAAATTAAAAATAATTTTTAATTATTACTTCTATTGTTATTATTATTTATATTAAAATGTGAGTTAAAATATCGAGTCCACTGAAATTTGTTCATTTATCAATTAACATAATAGTATGTCCCAAATGAAACTTATTATACATATATTTTTTGGATAAACGGTACCACACAATGACAATGTACACGAAATAATAACGTACACGGTACACGTCAATCACCTTATTTCATATCGCAATTTAACGGCACGGTAATATCGATAAGGAATGTTGACACCCATAAACGTCTTTAACGTATATAATGTCAAATACCCACGAATAATATTTTTAAATTTCAACAAATTAACTAAAATCGTTATAAATTCACAAAAACTGTTACGAATATAGGTGTTGTGTGTATTTTGTTTAAAGAGCAAAAATATAGATTTTTACGAGAAATGGCCAGTGGTAATGTGTCATTGAGGTGTACCAAAAAAAAAAATGTTATGTATCATAATTTATGATTTATTAATTTTATAACATAATATAATTTTTATAATAGCAATTTTCAAATAACTATTTATATAAAATAATATTAATATAATATAGTATACATATAATATCATTTTTATAAGATATATCAATTTTGAAAAACTACTTATATAAAATATTTATTTTGGCGCAAATGATATGTCATTTTCGTACCTTTGGCGCTTATGTCATATAACCAATTTATTAATTTGTCTTTCCGGTTAATGAAATAATAACTTACCTGTGCAGGCCATTAGTTTTCTTTTTTCGCAGCACCAATAATATATGTCCTCTCGATTCTTGTCTTTTGTCATTAAATATCCCTTGACACATATTTTGGCATTTCCTTTTTGAGATGGGATAATTTGACATACTTCACTCATAATTAAAAAACTCCTTACTTATATTTAAAACAAAGGTACTATACAATTAACACGCAAAAATACGTTTGTTCATTTGAAATGTTCAATCGTTCACTGAGACTTGGGACAAGTAATTGAGCGTTTTAGATAATATAGGTACTAAATTAAACTTTTATAAGATAAGATAAAATTATTTTATTTTGTCGATATTTTGAACTGTCGGTATTTTGAACTGTCGGTATTTT